GTATTTTTCTTGCAATCCTTGACAGGGGAGCGTGTCTGAAGCTGTCAGGAGTTTATGCTAAGCAGCCACTCTCTGGCTCTTGGACAGCAGGTCTAAAGTTTCAGTCTGTTTGTATTGGGCTGTCATGTTACGGGATTAGGGGCTGTCATGATGGCTTCTGGATGCATTGTAGGGGGTCTGATTAATCTCGCTGTGCTTCTCTGGAGCAGCACCTCTGTGCTGGTGACAGGGAGGTGCGGGCAGAGCTGCCACAAGGGACTCCTGTGCAGTGGAGGAACCCGTTCTCACCTCTCCAGGTTTACAGACGGTTTCTGTTTGCTCTCTGGCCCTTCTTTCAGCACAACATAGAAGTCCAAGAGCAGGTTTTGGAGGCACCTCCAGCAGTGTCCCCAGAGTAACTCCAGTGCAGTGTTAGTGGCAAGCGTAGCCCTGGGGCACAGAGCAGGGTCTGACTTGACGCTGTGCACTGGGGGAAGAGCTTGGCTATGTGCACATTTGCCTTGGGACCTTTAACCCTTCTTAATCTGGGTGTCTATCAGAGGTGTCATAAATAAAGAGGGGAATGAGACAATGCAGCTGCTTTAGAATCAGTTTTTTGCTTTTATTTGCAACTGAATCTTGCTAATTGTTGGTACAATAATTATGCAGGTGACTCTGATAGGAACCATTTAGTTCAAGATTCTGCGTGACCTTGAAGTTAAGACCTTACCTTCTTCCTTTCTCCCCCCACTTTCTCTTACCCCTCCTTTACTAGCTGTCACATATGAATAAACTACATTAAAATAACAAACCCACACTAATTAGCTGATTGTGCTGGGAAGTGTGAGAGCAGAATTTCCTGTGTGAGAGCAGGCAAAGGAGCCTGATCAAATCATACCAACCCGATCTTCTCCCATACAACTGCACACCAGTCTGGTGCTCCTGGGGCATGGACCTACGAGGGATTATGTCCTCAGTACTGGTTCTTTCTGGTGCATACTGGTTCTCTTCTCTGAGACTATGTGCAAACCCCATTCAGTGAGTTCCTCACTGTCCCCGGGTTAGGCTTGGGAAGCTGTTCTCCCTGCTGCATATGCTTGGGTGCAGTTGTTGCTGGTGTGGTTTTGGCAGCCAGCACATCTGGGATGGAGCGGGGCACCTAAAAGCAGGTGGTGCTGCAGTCTGAAGGGAAAGCAAGTCAGGCTTTTACCAGAGCTCATATCCTGCCGGAGCCAGGAGCAAAGGCTGGTCCCCACCATGTTCACTTGCCTTTTGAGCCCTGTTCAGTCCCAGCATAAATATACACCTCTTTGTTGAGGTCAGAGGCCTCCTTTCGTAGCAGCGGGTTCAGAACATGCCCCTTACTGGGCTTTCCTCACTGGGCTTCCACTGAGAGCTTAGGAAACAGACGGCAGTCCCACCTTTCAGGCCATGCCTGAAGCCCTGTTGGGTTGGGACCAGCCATTTGCTGTTCGGGTTCAAGTTGTCTGATCCCACTAATGCCCTTTCTTGCTTCTTCCCCCTCTCTCTTTCCAGCTGAAAGAACTATATGCACTGACGCAGCCTCAGGAAAACCCACAATGGCTGCCAAGCGCAAAGGCGGCCTGAAGCTAAATGCCATCTGTGCCAAGCTGAGCCGCCAGGTCGTCTTCGACCACGGGGGAGCCGAACAGGCACGGGCGGACAAGGGCCCGCAGCGGGAGAGCAGCAACAAGGACCTGCCTCAGCCCGGGACCAAGGAGCTGGGGAGTGAGTTCTCAGATGGGCTCAGCCGCGTGCAGAAGATTGAGGAGGACAAAAGGAGGGAGGTGATTGAGAAGTGGGTGAACGGGGAATACAACGAGGAGCCCTTGCTGGGGCGAGCGGAGGGCAAGGAATGTAAGGAGAGCGCGGAGGTGCCCCCTGAAGGGGTTTACATGGTGCAGCCCAAGGGCTGCAGCGATGAGGAAGATAACGGGGACGAGGCAGACACTCTGAGGAGCTCGCAGGATGGCAACTTCTTGGATGACAGGGATTCAGACGGGCCGGCCTTGAAGGACGATGCCTACCGGTCCTCCAGTGGCGAGACAGGCTCCAAGCTGGGGGGAGGAACTGCCTCAGGTGAGTCCTTTGCCCCCTCCATCTCCAGCTTCAGGGTTGTGTTTCCTATGGGACAGACAAAGCCATTGCTGTGTCCATGTAGATACTGCCTGCATCTGGCAGCCAAGGAGGAGGGTGAAGCCTCAATCCACTGGCAGAGTCCTGGCGTGCTGCTCTTGGAACCGTTCTGAGTTTGCCTCTGCTTCAGCCTCCCCTTCCCAAGAGGAGCGTTGGTGAGGCTGGATGTGGCTGGATGGCTCTTGCCCTGGAGAAGGAAAAGCAATCCTAGATCCCTTGGTAGAGTAGATCTCCCCCTGTAGACACCTTCACACCATTTAGATGGAGATCACTGCGAAGTGTGGTGTTTTCCCGGTTATGCATTTCCACATGAGGGGTGGGGGGAAGCAGAGAGCGTCCTTGTGGCAAATCCTAGATGGATTCTGCGGCATGTCCACACGTGCACTGGCAGCGCAGCGCAGCGTCACACATTCATACCCACACATTGTCCCTTGCACCATGGCAATGCACCCGAGCTCGGAGCTGACCGCGGCACATCCCGTTTGGACCCAGCTGAGCCCCGGCTGCTGCCCTCAGCTTCTGGGTGCTGTGATGTGTCCATGAGCTTGGAGTGAGCTGCCCTCAGGCACTGCTGTCTTCATCACTGATACTGTTTGCTTACCAGCCCCCTTCTGGGTGTCAAATAAGAGTCCCTAACAGAGCAGTCCGGCACATAACCCATCGTGATCTGGTTTTGCTGCCATGTGTTCCCTCATCCCGCTCTGAGGGGCTGCCACCTGCCATGGCGGTGCCTCCTTCCTGAGGCACCTTGGGCTGGAGCTCGTGAAGCTGCAGGGTCCAGACCTTCACATCCACACTGCGTTGGTCTGGGGTGCCAACCTGGGTGCAGTTGCAAGGTGTTCTCCCCCAGGCTGTGTGCTGATTTTCGCATAGTTCCTACCTTATTCTTGTGGTTCATTCACTATGAGGGTGCTGAGGCGCTGGCACAGGGTGCCCAGAGAAGCTGTGGCTGCCCCATCCCTGGCAGTGTTCAAGGCCAGGTGGGACGCGGGGGCTTGGAGCAACCTGCTCTAGTGGAAGGTGTCCCTGCCCGTGGCAGGGGGTTGGGACTGGATGATCTTAAGGTCCTTTCCAACCCAAACCATTTTACAATTCAAAAGCTGAATTCAGAAAGAGATGTTGGGAAAAGCCCCAGATTAATTTATCTCATGCTCTGATACCCAGGCTCCCCCCAGATTGATTTTGGGGTGTGTATGAGTAAGCTAAGCCTCGGTAAAGGCTTAGGGTAAATTGAATTCTCTCCATTAAGGCAGAGCAGCTCCCTCCCCTGATTTGTCACTCAGCTGGGTTGAATTTGTAATTGAAAGATCTCCCCCTAATCTGCTCCACCTGCATGCACCCCTCCCCTGATCTCAGCACTTTGTGAATCCATCAAACTTTCCTCCTTTTGTGTGCGCGCATGTTTTCCTCCTCCTGTTAATAATGCAGCCGAAACTCATCTCCGTCTGTCCGTTCCCCTTCTGGAGAGGCACATTCTCCAGTCTTCACGAGTTCAGTGGCAGCGCACATAATTATGCATATAAGATATAAACAGAGCTGTTTAATTATCCTTCGCCACATCAGTGACAGAGTAATTAACAAACATTGCAAGATCAATGAGGAAAAGTGTGACCTTCAGTTTCCTTTGATAGGAAAGCCCTTGTCGTTCCCAGACACAAGGTGATTGTGCCTGGACTCTGTTTTTAGTTTGTTTTAATCCCCCCTCCCCATTTGCAGCTTTTATTTGCTAGGAAAACTAAAAGGAGGGGAACTTAAATATAAGAAATATGTTACCAAACTGGCGAAAATCAAAGGAACTGAGGTTTCTCACTGGGGTAGGAATTCTCAGTAAAATGCCTTTGTAGGGCTGTATTGTCAAAGGATTATGCAAAAATGTATAAGCGTTCAAGGGGGGCTGCAGGCTCATTTATGTTTAAGGCAGGTAATGGCACATGCAGCGTCCAGTTTACATATACAGCCCCATGGGATTTGACTTGCAAACAGACGTGCTGCCAGGTCTTGAGCGTCTGTTTCAAGAACCCTGTTGTAAATGTCGTTCACAACATTTCCCTGGAAAGCACAAACTGAAACATCCCTTGCTTTGCAAAGGACAGAGTTCTTTGCCTCTTCTATCTTTTTCTGTCAGTGTTCCAGAAAATGGATTTTAAGCTGTTCATCACCGCATCCTCTCAAACCTGGTGTTACTGGGTGCAAGTTAAGTTCATTCCAGTGAGATCTGGAACTGCCTTTACCAAAAAGGAGGGTGTTTTCCTGGGAGCTGGGGGGTAGCATGAGGCTGTCAGATCAAAGGAGAGGAATACAGGTCTGCCCTCCTGGCCAGTGCATCTTCAGAGGACTCATTGCAGGAATGTGATTTTGAGAGTTCTGGGTGCCTGTGCTCCGTCTAAGGACATAGAGAGTACAGAGCTGGCAGTGCTCAGCAGCACTTAAAATTGAACCCAGATTTCTTTAATCAGCTGGATATTCAGGTAAAAAGCAGGAGCCACGCAGGAAACCAATTCCTACATCTAACTGACTTTCTTAGTCCATGGCGAAAGTAGTCCTGGTTATATGGGACTGAGAGGGTTCCTGCTTCTTGGATTCCCGGTGTGTACACACACAGCCTGCTTTATGGGACTTCAGCTACTGCTCATGTCCTTCTTTAGTCTAGTGCTAAATCCCTGCCACCTTTGCCTCCTTCCAGGGTGAGACAGTGAGGTTTGTTGTGCACCAGGCGGGAGTTTGCAGAGACTTGGCCTATGCTATTCAATTCTTCTGCTTTGAAACAAGATGGAGAACATGCATGCATGGCATCCCTGTTCCTTTCTCTGAGCCCTCTGGAAAGAAGGGACTGAGTCGGTGCTCAGCCTTGCCTTATGTGCCTCCCTCTCTGGTACAGCTAGGAACACATTCAGGAGTCGCAAAGCTGTTGTCTGTCAGCAGATGGTTGTCAGAAGCTGATCTGGACATGCAGATACGTTTCTTCATTCATTCACGCACCCTCCCCTGCCCACTGACTGACCCATGCTTCTCTACTCACATTTATATATAGCATTTAGATTTCCCAGTACAGTCTTTGACAGAGATCGCTTTCCACAATCTCTCACTGACGCACACATACCCAGGGAGATTTTCCTATGCAGTCCCATGTTCTTTACGCTGTTACATAGTGGGCTAAAGTTGTCACCAGAAGCTTTCCCTTGTACAAGCTGTCAAAGTTCTCCTTTCTTTTATTAGCCTGTTGGCTAAGTGTCTTAGAAAGGGAATATTGGCCCTGTTTTTGACAAGGTGGGGTTTCTCTTCATAGTTTCCTGGGGAGACTCCACTTGGGAGAACATGGATGGTGACTGCCAGTTTCTATAGTCCCCAAGCCTACGTGTTTTCCCTCCTAAACAGAATAAAGGACAGAGCCCTGGCTCGGATGTCCCATCCCCCAGTACCCAGACCTTGCACTCCATTTGGGCTGTTTTGCTTTTCCTTCCATATATAGTGTGCTGCTGCAGGCTATTTTTAGCCCCTTTTTTGCTAGCTTCGGATCCTTTGTGATACGATAGCTGCTCTGAGACACACAGATCTGTGCTCTTTGGCAATGCCCACAAATGGAGAGCAGCAGCAAGGGGAGAGGGAGCCCTTTTATTATCACAGAGAAAAGGAGAGAAAAATGCAGTGCAGGGGAGGGAAAAGAAAACCCAGGGACAATGTTTCCTGTGGCTCCAGGGCTTTGCACTTCTCGCTGGGATTTCTTTCCCAGCCAGTGTCCTGCTTAACTTTTGTCTGCACATGGATATGAGGAGGGTTTCCTGTCAACTAGGTAATAATAATTACCTCTTTGCTGTTATTTGAAAAGCATGTATGTGAAATGAGTTGACTGGGTCTCACACCATCTCTGTGGTGAGACAGCTCCCTCCCATAAGGTGCCTCCATTAGAAGAGCCTCAAGCCTTCTGGTTAGGTGCCTGTGCAAATTAAGTGAGTGTTGTCTTGGATGTATGGGGTGTGTTGGTGGGCTCATGCCGGGATGAGTGAAGGTGCATTTGGTAGGTAGTAGGTAGTGGGAACTGGCTAGGGTTTCATCTCAAATGTGGATGAGAAAGACTGAGCAGCACTAGCAAAGCTGTTGATCAGGGAGGGTGTTGTGATCATCGGCAGCCAAATTTGAGCAAAGGAAAAACAAAATGCAAGGTGTTTTGGGGGATGAGAGGATCAAATCCAGGATGGTGAAACCTGAACTCAAGCTGAGGCTTTGTAAAGCTCAAAAAAAAAGGTCTGAAAACTCCCCCTTTCCCTTCGTCTTGGGTTTTGATCCAATTGTTTGCACCAGTTGAGGTCGAGCCACATGGGTACCAAAGAAGGTACCCGTTGGCTGGGTTTCAGGGCAGCTGCTAAAGCTAGTAAAAATCACACTTAACAGTTTAATTTCTTATCAGATCTTCTCTATTTCTCTCCTTTTTTCTGCCCTTGCAGTTTGGCACAGGCTGACTAGAGCTTTTCTGTGCAGTACTTGGAAGTCAGGACATTGTGAAGGAAGCTAGGGGATTGTTTTACAGGTCCAAAAAGAGAGGAAAAGCAGAACAAGGGAAAGCAGATTTAACAGAAACAAGGAAGTGTTAGACTCAATAGGGATTTCATGGGTTTAATCACTTTTTTGGGGCCATACGGTTACACTGAAATGGAGAAGAGAGAAAAAGAGGTAAAAAGGAGAACTGCTTTAAAGCAAGATGAAATTATTTAATATGTCTGTGTGTGAAAGATAAAGTTGATGGCTTTGGTAAAGTGCTGGAAGTGCCACAGGAGAGGGTCAGGTGGGGAAGCACAGATGAAATGATCCTACCTCTGAGGATGGAGTAATACAGCCTTTCCTAGTGTTCCCTATGACAAGTCTTGTTACTGGACACTGTGGGGCATGAATCTGCGTTTAACATCCTTTAAGATTAATAGTGACCCATGAGGTTGTGCTGCAGAAAGCTACAACCTGAGCCAGCCACTGCAGGGGCATTGTCACCCATTCTGTAACTAGCAGGGTGTTTATTCTGAGGTCAGGCATCCCAAAGACCCATGCTGAGTCTGAGTGCCCAGAACTGGAAAGTCATCTGGGGTTAAACCAGGTCCCATCCTGTAGCAGGTGTATCTTTGTCCTTCTGCTTCAGTCATATTCTTTGCATTGGCTTCCTAACTTACCACGTACATAAGCACCTAATGCAGCAGCACTTCTGCCACCTGAACACAGTTCTCCCAGGCATGAAATGGGATTATGACCATTATGGTCTTGCCCATTTTAGTGCCCACTGCAGGCAGTCTCTTCCTCCGTATTGTCCTGTGGCAACTGATTAGTGGAAGCTGATGGCTACTGAACTTTGCTCATTGACTGGGTCTTGTGTGCATGGAAATGCTCTCATGCATGTGCATACCTGTGTGTATGGCATCATTGGCTGTCAGATCCTCCAAATCCTGGGGCTCCATCTTTATGCTTTGGATCCACTGACCTACTCTGTGGCTATGCCTTGTACCTTTCTTTTCCACTGTGTGTCAATGCAGTGTCGATTTGGTTTGAGCAGGACCCAGTGCCCAGGACCTCCATTCTGCTGCCAGTGTCCCTGCCTGTGTTGGTGCCCTGTAAATGGGTGCGCTTGCCCATGAGAGCTAGTGAGTGATTGGAAGAGATGACGAGGGAGGTTTGAAGGACTCCTGCACACAGTAAATCTTTACACTGCAGGAGAAAGTGAGAGGGAGAGGAGGAGGAGCGCTGTGTCAGACTGAAGCCTAAATGAGTCCAAGTTGGCACGTCAGAGTAATCTTTATTTCCTCCTTTACACTGATATTGGGTGACCTCCAGATGTGTGTTCTTCCCCTCCTGGTGGCCTGTGAAACTGCCTGAGGGAGTAGGGAAGGGAGGAAGGGAGGGAGGGACCCAAGGAAGAACAGCTTTTGCCCATTCTTCCTCCCTGTGATCACACTCAGGTAGACTAACCCCTTCCTGCCCCTTCCCTAACCCACGCTCCAGAGAACAGGCTTTCTCCCCCTCTCTGGACTCCACATCAGGACAACGGCTCTTTCTGTCCTCAGTCCAACTCCTGATGGAGAGAAGGCTGTTCCATACCTATTTTGCACCTGTGTGGCCTTACCCGTTACTGGAAGTTGTTCCTGGTTGCTTGGGAGTCTGCCTGTAGTTTTCCACAGCCTTCACTGAACTGTGGCCCCTTTTCATGTGGCGAGCAGTAGCTCTCCAGCCACTGGGATTGAGAAGGAAGTCGGGTGAACTCTAACAAAATTGACGGGGAAGGGAAGGACTGCAACAGCTATGGGGAACTATCCTTTCTCTTTGTCTTGCCTTCTCTTCTCCACTCCTTGCCAAGCTTCTTACGCATGTAGCCTTTGCAGCTCTTCCCCCACCTTAATTTATCTCCACCTCTGCTGCTCTCCTTCTGTACTCTGCACTTTCTCATTCTGCCCTTCTCCTGCTCTACCCCATTGCCTGTCTTGCCCTGTTTCCCTTATCCATTTCACACCATGCTGTCCTGCCTGCTCTCAGCCCTGCCGTTCACCAACATACATAGCATATCTCACACGTTTCTACCCCCTCCCTTGCACACGCGGATGTTCTGCCATCTATCCTCTGTGCACCTCCTTCCATATACAAACACACGCAAGGACAGAATTGTACAAACCTCGGCATATTGGCATTGGTCTCACTTCCAGTAAAATTACTTTTTCGTCATATTAGGCCAAGGCAAGAGTGCAGAGACATTTATGAAACTTTGTTTAATGTACTGAAAAGCCATCGGCTAGAACATTTAGGAAATTGATTTTCCTGGCATTGATGAACTCTTTTTATTTTACCCCAGTATTAATTACTTTTTTTTTTTTTAAACAAATTAATTTAAGAGTCGTAAAACCTAACAAGTGAGCCAAACGTCAGTAGATCATGTTCCCCTCTCCTCCTGCTCCCCCTCCCTGCTACTACTGCTAGCATGGGAGGAGAAGAAAAATCAGTGCCTTGCATGACTCTCTCACTTTGGTTATCTGTAGGGGAAGCTTCATCGCTGCGAGATTACGCGGCCACCACCATGAATGAGTTCCTGGGCATGTTTGGCTACGACGACCAGAACATGCGGGATGAGCTGGCCCGAAAGATCAGCTTTGACAAACTGAATGCTGCTACCTCAGAGGCCCCTGCAACTGCTGCCTCTCTCCCTGGTGAAGATGCCATGAGCAAACGAGCCCGCTTCTCCAAGTATGAGGAGTACATCCGCAAACTGAAAGCTGGAGAGCAGCTCTCTTGGCCCATGCACTTGGCCAAATCTGAGGAGTTGGGCTCCAAGCTGGGCAAAGAAACTTCCTCAGTGCTGGCACAGCCCATTCGGGTGCCAGGCGCAGATGCCTCCATGCTGACGGAGACCAAAGCCACCATCCTGCCGCTGCCCTCTCCCAGCAGTTCCCAGATGCAGGGCCTCATGTCACGGACCTCCAAATATGACTTCTTCATTCAGAAGCTGAAGACAGGTGAGAGCATCAGGCCACAAAACGGCAACACTTACAAGAAGGCCTCCAAGTATGACCTAGAAAACGTCAAGTACTTGCACCTTTTCAAGCCTGGAGAAGGAAGCCCAGATATGGGAGGAGCCATCGCCTTCAAGACAGGCAAGGTAGGCCGGCCTTCCAAGTATGATGTGAGGAACATTCAGAAGCTTACTCCAGTAAAAGCTCCAACACCCAGCCTGGCCCCTGCTCCCCTCGCCAGTACCCCCAGCAGCACTCCTGTGGCTGGGCCAGAGCAGTCCGTCTCATTGCCATTCAACACTCCTGAGTACCTGAAATCAACCTTCTCCAAGACAGACTCCATCACAACTGGAACAGTCTCTACAGTAAAGTAAGTGGCCTCCCACTTTTCTTTGTCTTAGTGGGGGATCATGCCTGAAGTCTGTGTGTGGATCAGTGGCAGTTCCAGGTCATGTGATGATATATGCTGCATTGTTCCTGTGATGTTTCTTTTTGCTCTCTGTTGGAGTGTCTGCTCCTCTGTTGCACCTTACATCTCTATTTATGTTATTGGCACTAAGGATGTGGGGTGCCATGAGCAGTCACAGCCATAGAGCCCACTAGCTCTGTGGTTGTATGTTAAAATGAAAGGTGAAGGAACATGGTGCTGTCAGCACTCTAAGGTCAAAGTTGTAACTACTTTACTTTCTACCTCTTCATGTTCCCCAGGCATCCAGCTGTGTTTGTAGTAAAACTTTATTCCTACAGCTATTTAACTCAATGACAAAACTCTGCTGACTTTACTGTTAGCAAGATGGGGCTTTTTGTTTGTCCCAGATCTCAGAAGACATTTTGGTGCCTAATTCCCATCAATTTTCATAGGAGTTAGGCACATACAACTTCTGTGGGGCCAAGCCTGTGTCTTCTCAATTTGCTTGTTCCTTGCACAAATAGAGGTGATTCAATTACCCCTCAGACTGGGCAAACTCATTAGCCCAATTACCACTAATAACCTCCTACACATGTTGCTGGCAATCTGCAGTGGTGCCATTGACTGAATGGAGATATCTCAAGGTCTTGCTAAACATTGGATTAGTTTTTAACATGGTTTCTAGAGGTGGTAGCTGTAGAAAAGCCATATATGCACGTGAGGCTGCAAACAGGGAGGAAGGGAGGGACTTCTCTGCTGTCTTGTGATGGTTTGGGTTTATTTGTCTCTTACTGTGAAGCTGGGATTGTTGTGAGCTGTGAATCCCGTGGGGACATTGTAGTAAGTCTGGGACCTCTGTCCTGCAATTCTGTGGCAAATGCCGTTACACACATCCTACGACTTTGTCCTCTGGTATAATGGGGAAGGCTGTTTTATGTTTAATATGTAGACCTTGGGCTGAATCCTCAGTCAAATGCTCTTTGCAGTCTCAGGCAAGTCTGCGTTCCCCACTTCCCAGGTTTCCCCACCTGGAAGGCAGAGCTAATGATACTTGTCCTTTGTGTGCAACAGCCATTTCCCAACTGCCTGCAGACAGATTTGGGAGCTCTATAGTTAAGGTGTACGGGAAAGGGCAGAGGATTACTAACATTTGCATCTGGCCCCTGCTCAGGATGAACCCTCTGTGTGCTCCAGATGGCAGGCAGGGACTCCTATTACTAAAAAAACAAGTGTTGTAAATATTCCTGTAGGCACAGTGCCTTGTTGTGATGGGTGAGTTGGCCAGGGCCTCTGTGTCTGAAGAGTGTGCAGGATGCTCAGCTGCCTGCAGTTCAATGACCATCCTAGACCTGTGCTTGGGTGGCTGTGTGCCTCTTCTTACCTGCTTTGGTGTTGCACTGGGATCCCAGTTTGATTTCTTTCCTCTTGCTCGTGTCCTGCTGCAGCTGGTGTGGGTTTGCAGCACCATGGTGGTCCCTCCTCTAGCCACAGGACTTCCTCAACTGGGGCATCATGATGGGGCTGTGACAGGAATGGAGGTGACCGTGGCCTTCAACTTGGCAATTCCCAGTGTTCTGATCACACACTGGAGTACAGAAGGGGATCAATTCTCCTTCAGGTTGCTTACTAGATAGGGGCTTTCATGACAAAAGTAAGCAGCCCATTAATTGTGCTGGTGGAGGAAGTGTGAACTGGGGTATCTGGGACCTGGCTTTCCATTCGCAGTCCCCAGTGGGACCAAATAGTCTGGGAGGAATTACCCGTTACTCTCACACATATGCACATACACCCTAGCCATGGGTTTAAATTCTCTGACATCTAATGCTCTTAACCTGCCCTGAACTGATCTACCTACTTCAAGTGAACTCTGTGTGAAAGTGTCCTCGTTTAAACCAGGCTACAGAGCTGTCTTGGGTAGGAGTGGAGGTTGGGTGTGGGCAAAACTGAGAAGGAAGGACATGTACGCCTGTCTGGAGTTGCACTGGTATGCCACTGGCTCTTAGGTAGGCTGGAGTCTGGCCCTGTATCTCTTTTTCCTCTTGCTGAACTCACCGAGGATCTATGTCTGCTTCCTGATCATGTTAAGTAACCCAGGCTTATGTGACAGTTGAGTCCAGTTGGGTTGGATTTTGCTTCATGAATACATTTGCTGCCCATCTATGTGTCTGTTGGAGATGGGGTATGTGTGTGAAAAAAGAGGCAATTAAACCCCCATCTAGGGTGCTGTAGCCAGGTTGCTGGTACCAGGTAGCAGTACATGGTGCTAAATACATGGGTATTTAGGTTTTCTCTGTGGAAACAGATTTTCATGGTTGACCTTCTCAGTGTCTCCAACAAACTGAACTGAGTCCACAAAGAGGGAACATGCGGGAGGGGTGGTAGGTGGACTCTGGTTCCCTAGGAAAAGGGTACAGGATTTGAAGGGTAAAGAGGAGGGAGGTTAAACTTATGGGTGCTTTGCTGGGTACTCTTCTCTGGGCCCTCTCTCCAGATGTGTCAGTGGTGTGCGAGAGAAGCAAGGAGCCCTGTTACTGCCTGCTAACCAGCTCTGCCCTGTGTGTTTCTCATTAGGAATGGATTACCCACTGACAAACCAGCTGTCAGCGAAGATGTAAACATTTACCAGAAGTATATTGCCAGGTAGGCAAAACTCTTGACTTTCTTGGGGAGAGGGCTGGAAGAGGGTGGAGTGGTGGTGGGAGAGATCAGGTCTTGTCCATCTGGATCAAGTGTTTAAAACAGTCATTGGCACTTCCATTTCCCTCTGGCATCTGTACTTGCTCTGTTCTCCTGCTTGGGAGAGCAGGAGCTGTGAGAGGTGTACAGGCATGCCAAGAGCACGCTCAGCTCCCCAGAGCTGTTAGACCTTGTGACAAATAGTGGAAAAATATTTCACTGCAGAAGCCCAGGGTTTAAATGGGAGCACTGTCTCTTGACTGTCCTTCTTTCTGTCCATTGCTATGCTGTCTCCAGCCTTTTTCCCCTTACCATGTTCAGTGCCTGCAGGAGGCAAGCAAAGAACATCTCACCTTTGAGAGTCTAGGCTGGAGGAATTCACAAGTGACTCAAGTTTGGGCAGGTCTTAGCATTAGTGTGGGATGTTTATCCTAGAAAACTTTGCAGCTCGTTTATATGAGAAACCCTCAGTGAATAAGGTGCAGACTAGGACACCTTAACACAGCTGTGGGCAGGCTTAGGTCAGGAATGAGCAATGCTGTGAGGAAGCCCAGGGCTGTTGTGGTGAGACACAGTGAGTAACACCATGAGAGCCAAAGAGACAGAGGAGATTATTGCATAACACCTTCCTGTTCTATAGCTCATGGTGTAAAGGGTCCATCAGTCTTTGCCCCTGGCCTGTTGAATCCTCTGTCTGTATTGTGAGGAAGCTCACTGTGGAAGCCCCTGCTATACAGAAAGACACCAGTCAGGAAAGCAAGCAAGCGCTTCTCTCCAGAGATAAACCTGAAGGGTTTGTTTCCACTTGGGCACTTACTAACAAGAGGGGAGAGAAGTGTGTACTGTGCATTCCCACCTTGCCACATCTAGAGAGTCTGCCTGTGGAAGGCTGCCTGTGTGTCGGCTGCTAGGAAGGTGCAAGGCACCTATCTTGGCACATAGGCAGGGTAAAAGGGTGGGAACAGAGCTCTCCCTAGCTGGAGAGTGGCAAGAGAGGTGATTTCCTTTCCTCTCTTTTGCCCAAATCCCTAATGAAGGGGACAGAAGACCACATGGGAAGAGAGGACCGTTGCACCACCACGCACAGCTCCTCAAGCAGCAGTGCCTCTAGTGCATGTGGTAACTGCCTCTTGGGAGAGCACAGGAGGCTTTAAGACTGTCTTTGCATGGGGCAGAAGGAGCAGCACCCTATTATTGCTGAGATTGCAGAGGAATTGCAGTGAGAGAGGAGATGCCACCCTTTCTGTTCCCAGTTCCACTCTGAAGCAGAGAATCACAGAATGGTTTGGGTTAGAAAGGACCTTAAGATCATCCAGTTCCAACCCCCTGCCGTGGGCAGGGAGCCTGGTCCTAGACCATATCACCTAAGGCTCTGTCCACCCTGGCCTTAAACACTGCCAGGGATGGAGCACGTACCACTGAACTTCAGCAGAGAACTATATGAACACTTCACCCACATCCATTCTTCACAGCGCACTGCAAGCCCCGTCCCCTGGGTCAGGCAGGTAACTGAGGGAGGCTGGTGAGATAGCTAAGGGCCACCACATCCTGCTTGAAAAGCTCCCCAAGCCGCCTGTTGGCAGCGCAGCCACTTCCCTTCAATTTACACACCATTTTAAAAACAGTTTAAAGCTTTAAAATCAAGGGGTGGGGGGAGAGAGACACGACACTCTGTGTCTGTACTGCATAATTAGCTTAATGAGTTTGCCAAAGCCACTGCCAAAAGCTGCCCAGGGATAATCCATTCTCTCATACAACAAAATAAAACCTCTTACTTAGCTAGTTTGGGTTGGGTTGTTCCCCC